CTGAACATTTACAAAGAACATACATTCAGTACCAAGAATTTATAAGTAACCAACATTATATTTTCACTGCCTAGAGAATGAAAGAAATGATAGCGAAGTTGTGCATGCAGTAACCAAGTGCAAGAAGATGACATTTCAGATGAAATACCCTTTGGTCTAAACAGCTCATAATAAGAACTGTAGATTAAACTTCCTGATAACAAAATATGTAGAACTGTTGCAAGTCTCTTTTACACAGACATTTTGTGTTATGTAAAATTCAAAGTGAAAAAATCTAAGGACTTCAGAATCTTTGTTTTTCATTCACTATAAGTAACCATAATAAATAGAGATGTTAATTATAAATAACCTCTCATTTCCTCTTGCACATTTGTCTTCTGAGGAAGGATTATTTAGCAGAGGCATTTACTGCTGAACCTCATCAATTAACCATGCTATGTCCTAACATTTGATTATTTGTGAAGAAGTTCACAAAACTACAAATTAATATGGGGGCACGTGGTAGCGTAGTTGGTTGAGGGGCTATGCTACAAGCAGGAAGGTGACGGGTTCAAGTCCCGATGTGGTCATTGGATTTTTTTCCGTTGACCTAATCCTTCTGGCCGCACTATGGCCCTGAGGTTTACTCAGCCTCTAACAGAAATGAATACCAGGAATTAAATAATTTTCCTGGGGAGTAAAGCGCACCTGGCGCGTATGGCTGACAACCTTACTGCCATCTTTGAGCCGATTGTCTAGATAGTGTGGGACCCTGAACATCTCACAACCCTATGAGCCTTCATGGCTTGGTACAGGGATAGCTTTACTTTACTTTACAAATGAATATTCCACAGTTGTGTATAATGATACTATTTTAAAACAAAACACTCCGCAATTGATAATTTACTGCATGAACGTGACTTTCTGAGTGTTGAGTTGCGTCAAAGCATCTGAAAGGACTGCATTTCAGTATTAAAATTTTGAAGTTAAACTCTGATATGGAGATTGGCTGGCTGATAATATTTCAGATTTCTGTAACAAGTTTTTGCAAGGGCGAAGTTTCCATCTTTGAGTCTCTTTTTTCTGATTGTGATAACTTTCACATAAAAGTAAAGTTGTTCCTGTGCTTAACTAATTAAGCACTTGGCCATGAAGATGTACGGGGAAGTTAATGTATAGATCCCCATATTCTTGACATCAGCACTAATTGGAGGTAAGTGGTCAGCTTCAGGCCCTGGCTTCTTTACCCATGGGGAAAGAGCCCACAGTATCCATTGGTTAGGAGGCTGGATGGGCCTCCGAACCAGTCTGAATGATGTGGAGAGGAGAAATATCTTGCCCATAGTGGGACTTGAACTTCAACACCTCAGTCATCCAGCCCATAGCCAGAAGCTATACTGACTGCACTACCACAGCTCCCTGATAACTTCCACATGTAATGTTTTAATTACATGCATTGGTATGAGTGAATAAAATTCAGTAATGGTCTGCCATTTCAACAAATATGTAAGGCAGAGGTAAATTTGTCCCTGCGCCTAACTAATTAAACTCTACACCATGAAGACATATGGGGGGGAATGGATGTATAGAGCCACATATTCTTGATTTCAACACTAGTTGGAGGTGAGTGGTCAGCTTCATACCCTGTGGAAGATCCCCCGGTACCCATTGAATATGAGGCAGGGAGGGCCTCAGAGCCAGTGAGGACAACGTGGAAAAGAAAATTCTTGACCCTACCAGGACTCGAACTCCAACCCCTAGGTCATCCAGCCCACAGCCAGTCACTACCAACTGTGCTAACCCGACTCTAACAAATAGAAGGGTTGGATAAAAAGTAGTGGCAACACTGCTGTAACACTGTAACATGAAAGATGTGCGTCAGGTGGCACTAGCACCATCCGTAGCTGATAGCAGAAGTTCAGTTGAAGTAGTGCAGTGAGTGGCTCTGGTTGTGTTTCACTGAGTTGCATTGTACATTGTCTTGAAGTGCAGGAGCCCAGTTCAAGCACCCTAACAACATGTTTACGAAACAAGAACAACACTCCTGGATAAAAATTGAAGTTGCATGAGGTCGTAATGCACAAAAACTGTTATCAGGGACTGCAAGAAGCATGTGGTGATGCTGCTTTGCCATTCAGGCCAGCCGTCATTCAGGGCGACCCAATGTTGACAACCACACAATTCAGCTTCCTGCTTTGCTGGATGTTGATCATCAATGGGCTGCGTGGGAGTTAGCTGCTGAGGTAGGAATATGTCACAGAACCATGCTCCACATTCTGTATGATATTCTTGGATACTGCAAAATTGCAGCGCGTTGGGTACCCCATACAATGTCCGAGGTGCAACAATGGCAACGTTATGCAATTGCACAGGACTTGTTGGACTGGTACCAGAGGGAAGGTAATGACTTCCTTGGAAGGATCGTCACTCTGGACGAAACTTGGGTTCACTCATATGATCCGCACTTGAAGCGACAGTCAAGTGAATGGAAGCATCCTGGCTCTCCTCATCGAAAGAAAGTGCGCCCTACATAGAGTAATGTGAAGGCGATGATCGTTGTGGCATATGACATTGATGGAGTGATACTGAACCGCACTGTACTTCAACGACAGACAATAAACACTGCCTACTACTGCAATTTCCTGCATAATCATCTTCATCCAGCACTCAGGAGAAAGCGACGACACTTGTTGGCAACAAACCCCGTCATCCTTCATGACAATGCAAGGGCTCATACTGCTGCCGCTGTCAAAGATCTCCTACACTGCTGGCAATGGGAGATACTGCAACATCCACCATACTCACCTGATATGAGTCCGTGCAATTATGATCTCTTTGCCAAAATGAAAGAACCACTGCGAGGGACACGTTACAACACAAGAGAGGAGATTATTCATGCTGTAGGGCAGTCACTGCTAGACATCAACAGAAGTGTACGCGCTGATGGTGTACGATGCCTTCCACAACTTTGGCAGAAGGTGGTACACATGGGGGGCGATTATATTGAAGGGATGTAACTGTGTTTATCTCAGGTAATAAAGTCATTTCAGAACTACAGAGGTGTTGCCACTACTTTTTATCCGACCTATGTACAGGGGATGAACAAAAATATGGAAACACCCAACAAAGAACACATTACCATGACTAATATGGTGTAGGACAACCTCTGGCTTGCAGTCTCCTTGGAATGGATAAATAGAGGTCCTGTATGATTTGCAAGGGAATCTTATACCATTCTTCCTGAAAAACATTGTAAGTTCTGTTATCGATGATGGAGGTGGATAGTGTGCGTGCAGATTGCTCTCCAAAACAGACCACAAAGGCTCAATAATATTGATATCTGGCGATTGTGGGGGCCATTGCAGATGTGACACTTCATCTTCATTCTCAGAAAACCACTGATGAGTGGCTTTGGAATTGCAGCTCATCCAGAAATACCCTGCTTGTGGAGTTCCCTTTGTACTGTTTTGGTGCTGACAGGGTTTGTGAGCATGACATTCAGTTCAGCAGTCACTTTTTCAGCTGTAGTCTTCTTATTTTTCGTCACAATCCTAGGCAATGTTCGTCTGTCTTGATCACTCAGCAGACATTTCCATCCACGCTGGTGTTTATCGGATGCGGTTTTTTCAGTCCTCCTGTATGCGGTCATAATTTAGGATACTGTGCCTCGCAAAACACCAAAAACCTCAGCTACCTTGGTTAAGGAAGCACCCACCATATGGGCCCCAACAATTTGCCCGCGTTCGGATTCTGTTAGCTCTGACGTGATGCACAAAAAATTGCACATAACATTGTCTTGACAACAAATGAAGCTTGCAACGAATTGTGGAGGTTGTACAGGTAGTGATGTTGGGCAGATACGATAGCGTGACCTACAAACGTCGCTAAAATAAACGCTTCAATTTAGGCATGCATTTCACGAGGTGTTTCCATATTTTTGTCCATCCCCTGTATATATATATACATGAATTAAAATAGAAATGTGATAGTTCCTTTGTAATGTTGATTATCTAAAATTTCTCATTGGATGCCCATTTCTTATTTCACAATCTAAACCAGACAGTTAGATTTGTATTCATGCACAGTCTTTTTGCAGTAACTGGTAATGAAGCCAGGGAGAATATGGGCAGGACTGCAGTGCATAACAAACTAGAACTACAGTTTATCACAGACCTGCTAGGACATCACACACTGCCATTGCTCATTATTTAGCTGTAATGAAAGAATGTGAGGTATGCAAGGCATTATAGCAGTGGCTCTGCAGTCCTGCACGCGACAGGACGTTGTTCTAAGAATCATGCTTGGAAGCCAAGAGCAAGGTAATCACTGAAGCAGTGATTCTCAGCCTCTACATCCTGCATTCCCTTTTGTCAAAACCTGTTAATTCCACCATAGTAAGAACAAAATTTTTAAGTTTTGTACGTTTTGGTATTATATTAATCATTAAGAGAATTTCTTATTTTTGAGACCTCATACCCCACTCAGCAGTGTCATGTCCCTCCAGTGGGACACATACCACCAACTGAGAAATACTGCCCTAGCATTGGTGAATACCTCAGAATTATGACAGTGCTAGTAGTTTTAGTAATTTTGATTTTGGCAAACACCGAGGAGACAGTTTTTGATACAGCTGTAGTTACAACAAAAGACAAAAATTCTTTAAATAGTCAGCTGCAGACTTCTCTGTGGTTTCTTGTCTGTATTACCTATAATTTACTGGGTAATGTGGGTGTTACAAAGTGCATGGTTGTGTAAATATTAGGTGATTCTTTTTCATTTCTCTTATTGTGTAAATTGTGTTGCTGCAGGATCTACATTCCCACCCTGCGTGTCAGCATCATTACGCAGTAGATAAATTGTATAATGTGTTTCTTTGTTTCTTATTCTGGCCACACATTTGTATTAGCTGTGTTACTGAATGGTAGGCAGATTGCATTTCATTCAGTGAATTATCATCAGACTAGCAAGAAGCTTCGAGCTTGATTAGACTAGCTAATTGGTAGGCTGTTTGTATATTTCAGCTGGGTTCCATCTGTCCATCCCACTGGACCCTGCTCTATAACAGCGACCAGCATGGTCTAGGAGCAAACAGGCAAGTAGGCTCTGCCACAGTTTTCAGCACTGTATCTTAATGGCCATTGCTGAAATGACAGAACTGGGATTTGTGTGTCCATATTGGAGTATTGACACCATGTTGTGTTGGCTTGATTTGCAGATGTTTCAAAGAAATAGGTATTCTGCAGTTTTAAGCCAAAATGGCTAGCAGCAGATCTAATTGTGTCATGCTAGGTGCAGTTTTTACAGGGTTACCTGTGCTATTCCCAGCGATCTTTTATGACATGTATCACTTAACCTCATGTAGAGTTACAGGAGGAGGCTTCAGTGGGTAGTCCTAGTCTGTTTATGTTAACCTTTTAACTTTGAGACATAAACCTTCACCTGGCACATGAATGGAATTAAAAGTGATGGTTTTAAATTCTGGTTGCACCAGACTAGGAAGGAATATATATCGCCACTGTTTATGTTTCTCAAACAAAAACAGTGTAATAGAGGAATGAATGCCTCATACTCTTAAAACATGACATCATTCTTTGGTCAAATTCCATATGCTTTGTGCCAGATTAACAAAATTGTTCTGTGAAAGAAGTACATATGTAAAATTTATGAACTTAAAAAATGAATACATAGTAAAAATGTGACAAGTTACATGTGCGGTTCCACCCTGTACTCCACGTCATCCCTAATTCTGGTTCATACATTGCTATGTGGTCTGTAGGCTTAGAACTTCATTCATGAAAGTCACAGTTTCGTCACACTCACTGCATCGAACGGTAGGAGGTCTGTGTTTTTGCTGCAGATCACGTTACACACCAAGCACACTATCAGACACAAGTAGAGTCAGTTCCAGTCAGAGTTACTTTTTGTATGCCACAGCTGGAAACATGGCACAACACACAGACCACAGTCACATTTCTTGCAGTAGTAGACTGTTTTTTTTGGCTTTGTTTCTACCTTTGACATGCACAACAACATTACTCTTTTCCTTAGGTCAGCCACTGCAAAGAGTGTTTCACTGCAAGTTGGCTCATTTTGGTCTCCGAACTGCTGGGCAAACCCCTTGACACACCATGGACTTCAGCATTCTCTTTGTGGGAGATAACAAGATCCCTAACTAGCTGCTCCCTAAACTTAACATGGGTTGTATTTCCCCCACAAGACTTGTAGAGAATGTATAAATTCAGAATGGTTAACTCCAACAAATGGAAGAAGAGTTTTTTACCCATTTTCAGGTTTTCTTGCTAATGCTGTAGCTGTTTGCCATCCTGTTACTCAGGTCAGCATAAACCATAGGGTTATGTAATCTTCAGAGATCAGAAGCTTCACAGCTTTCCCACCTTCCTTGAAATTAACCTTCTGCAGTTGGAATTGGCATATTAGAAAGGTCATAAACATCTCATTTGTCCTTCAAACATACAGCCCTTAGATTTCCCCGTACTCTGGACATATCTCCTCTTTTCAGTTGTAGGTCTTTAGGACTGAAATTAAGTGGCATCTCCTTACTGTTGAGATGAACTGTACTGCATGCATTTATTTTTCTTTGCTCTAGATCATTGAAAATTTTCATTTAGGTGAAATAATTGTCCTTGAATGTTTTATGTCCAGCTCCTTGAACTTTCCAAACCAGTTCTAGTACCATTCCATTTGTAGGTGTAACTTCTGTGCTAGCCACTTTCTTTTTTCTTTTCTCAGGTACACCCTCAGGTCATGTGTGTAACCAAATCTATCACAGAGTGTATAAATTTTTGTGCCAAATGTCATATGTCATTTTGCAATGTACTGCCAAAAGATGACTTTCCCTCTGAATTTTACAATTACTTCATCCACTGCCATGTGTTCTGGTGGATGGTACAGTTCTGAAAATGTTATTTTAGAATGTCATATTTGTCTTATTTTCCATAATCTATCATAATCCAGATCTTCTCTGTTTTGTGTTGGTTCTGATTGTCCATGAAATGCAGATACTTCAGAATTGTGAGAAAATTATCACACTGGAGTAGAAAGGAACATAGTAGAGCTCACCTTTGGTCAAGTATGGCTTCTTACTGCACGTGTGGTTGTGACCCATCTGAACTATAATTGCAAGAAATATGTATAGATCCTTAAGCTTATTTGCTGAGAATATGTAATATCTGATTTATTTCTTGCATGTGCATCTTGTTGCATATGTCAGTAGGTCTCTTGTACAATTACTGCTAGGTTGGTCAGACGATACAGCAAGAGAAAATAATATGGTTGTGAATTTTCAGTAAGATTGGGAGCAGCAGTTTTTCAGCCCATTTTGTTGTCCCACGAACTGGTGCACATATGCCTTGTCAGAGGGAAGTTGGTAGCGCCACTCTAAACCTTCATCGTTTTCTTCAGCAGATGATGGATGCTGAAGCGTGGTATCTTCAAGTTCTTCTTCTGAGATTATGTCAACTTACTGCTCTTCAGCATCTTCTTGCGCACATGCTAAATTGAAAAAAACACACGCTTTGAAGGTCCTGCAATACTGATTACAGGTGACTGATCTACATGTGTTTGAGTGTGGAAACAGAAAGAAGCAGGAGGAGGAACTGAATCTTCCACTGAACACTAGAATATCTTATTCAGTCGTAACACTGTCCTCTCCTTGCTTTTTCTTTCCTGTTCTTTAAACTGCTTCATATGCATATGAACAAAGAAAATTACAGTAGGGTGCTAGCAATCTGCCACTGACAAATGTGTCATAAATGGAATCAAACAATTTTAATTTCCTCTCACATACGAGGTATATTACTTCACCCATGTATATTTATCAGGTTTGAATAGCAATTCTATTGTTACAGACACTGGAAAGGGAATGAGAAGGAAAACCAATGTGCTGTCTGTGTTCACAGTGTCATCAAATTGTTGCACATGATTAGAATGGTTGTGTGCACAGGAAAATAAATTTGATGCATAGACTGTTTATACACAGATAATGTTGAAACCTTTCAGAGTAAAATTCCATGCTTTGTTTGGGCTAAAAACATACACAGGGCACCAGAAGGACTCCTCAAAAGAAGATGCAAAACTGATGACATCAGATATTTGGCTGTTTTATCATGTCACCTGAGTGTAGATATATCGGACATTCTCCCTTTAAAGGTTAATCTGTAATGTTTAAAAATTAGGGTAATTTTCTTGGTTAACCATCATATGACATTACTCCTTAGCCATTGTGTGCTCCTGTGTGAAATGTTATTTTCACAGAGTACTGACTAGGACATTCGGTAGCGTAGTTGGTTGAAGGGCTATGCTACAAGCCGGAAGGTTGCGGGTTCAAGTCCCGATGAGGTCATTGGATTTTTTTTAAGCTGACCTAATCCTTCCAGCCGCACTAGGCCCTGGGGATTACTCAGCCTCTAACAGAAATGAGTACCAGGAATTAATTAAATAATTTACCTGGGGAGTAAAGCGTAGCCGGCATATAAGGCTAACAGCCTTACCGCCATCTTTGAGCCGATTGTCTAGATAGTGTGGGACCCTCAAAGTCTCACAACCCTATGGGCCTTCATGGCCTGGTACAGGGATAGCTTTACTTTTACTCACTAAGACATTATATATGCTTGTGATACATTCCTATGCAAATAAATGTTCAGAGTATATTATTCTCTATCATCATTTTCCTTTATGTCTCAGTATGATAATACTTTCATCTCTCTTCCTAGATCTTTTCTGTCATTCATGAATCCTTCACTCTCATACATGTTTCATTTGCATGATTAAGGAGCTAAAAGTAGCACTTTGTAGGCTGTCATGTTAACTAAAATATATTCACTGAAATATGCATATTGTGTATTCAGTAAATCTCATAAGAGAATGGTGTAGAATACAGCAGGCGGTATGAATGAAACTATTTAGTTTCATACATAAAACATACAGGCACACTGCCACTGTATACATGTAATGCAGTCTGACAGTAGGATTATTAACTCAAATGTCACATCAACACTGGCTTGATATTACCGTGTGATGTTATAATTAACATGTATAGTCTGTTTAATCAAAACACATGGCTAAGTGTCATTAATTTTCAACTGAAGAATGTAAAATGTAGCTTCGCATATTGTATATATGTTTTCTGTTATCATATGTTACTGTTATGAACTCGTAACATCAAAATTTGACTTAATAGAAATATCTCCCTTTGGTCTCAATCTGTTTTATCTAATTCAGAAGTAACCTAAACAGAATCTTGTTAGATTCGTACTTTTATTTCAAATCACGTGTTTTGTAAGAAATGAGGTGGTATTTCTCATGACATGGCATATCCCTAATAACTGATAAATGGTAAGTGATTGGTTCAGTCATGAGTGGCCTTCAGCTCACTGTACTTCTTTGTACAACCTGTGAGTAAATTATGCAAATGAGAAACTAAAATTATTGAATTTGAAATAATTGCAGAATGTTTAAAGTAATATATGCATACTATTTCAATTGAAATTATTAACTTATAAAACCCAAAATTACTCCTGTGTGTCATGCTTGCAGTAATTAATGTTTTGTTAGTATGGTAAGACCAAGTCGACTGGAAGTGCTTATTTTTATGCCCCTTCAAGAATTCACGATTTGTTGTGTGTGGACTTGATCTGTTTTAAATGCTGGAATTGTTTTCATTTTGCTAGATTAAAGTGATGGCATTATTTAGATTGCCAAGATGATGGCATGGAGACACCATAAATTTTAAAATTGTCATGATGTTCATTTGAAAATAAGTTTTATATATCTGACTATTGTTTGGCAAAGTAGAAATAAAGAGTGGTAGATCAGCAACATTTATCATTTGAACACTATGTTAGCAGAGTTCCTGTTTTAATAGATGAGAATACCCATTATCACTTAGTAAAGGATATAATAAGCACAACTGGAAGAATATATGGAAGTGATCTGGGAGTTTCACACACATAATTGATTGTTAGTAAACAGTATTTGATTTCAGTGGTGCTACTGTTGGACAAAACCTTGAGTGCACTAAGCAACACTGAAACAAAGAATGAAGTAGGTGTTGTAATTGAGTGGCATACAGGGCCAGTTAAGGTAGACCAAAATAACTTTCAAAACCATCTTGTGCAATGGTAAAGTTTATTCAAAAGTTCATCATTAGAATCAGATATTGCAGTGCATGCCAATTACTTGGTTTCTGAAATTTTAGCAAATAAAGATGAAAATGCTTAAAGAAGTTATGTTTCCAGACAAGAAACAATTTGTGAAATTAGTTAATGGGGATTTATAGCTGGAAGAATAATTGAGAAACTGCCAAACTACATTAAAGAAAAGTGAAAGCACTCATTTTCTGCAGTTTTCCATAGCAATGGTCTAAAGAACAGACATAAGTGACAGTGAATCTTGCTGTCTTTGTTTGTAAAATCAACATGGAGTTCAGTATATCTGATGAATTGGTTGCATGATAACAGTGAAAGAGACCTACAAACAAACTCCATGGTTTTAGTCTGCAAGCAAACTGTACCGACCAAGAACCCGCCACTTGTTGGTAAAATTAGTGCCAACTTCAGTGAATGGAGGGTGTCATGTGGTCAGTACAACTGATCCCCCACAGCTGTTAATCTCAGTTTTCTAGACTGGAGCTGCTATTCCTTGAAATAGCTCCTCAATTATCCTCGTGAGGCTGAGTAGACCCCGTTCCAGACCCACTACTTCTCAGAAAATCTGGTAGCACCAGGAATCAAACCCAGACCTCTGGATCTGTAGCCAGGAACTCTGACTGCTAGACCACAGAGGCGGCCTGAATGAGACCTACAGGCACAAATTTATGAGAATAATTGTAAAAAATGATGGATATCCCCATAGAGAAAGTAGCTGGTCTAGTGATGGATGGAGCATCAAGTATGGTTGGAAGGATCTATGACATGTCTTCACTTATTACAAGTAATACAAAGAATACGATGGATGATAGTTTGATAATATTCTATAGTTTTATACACCAAAGAAATGTGTGTGTGAAACCCATGAAAATGATGAATATTGGTGCACTGATTAAAAATTGTTAATTTCATTGGTTCAGAAGGAATGAATTATTGCCAATTTAAAGATTTCTTTGGTTATATGGAATCTGAGTGTAGGGATATTGTGTACTTTGAGAAAGGTTGTTGGTTGAGTTGTCATCAGATGCTTAAATACATGTATGGCTAGAAGCTATAAATTGGATTATTTCTGGAAATGAAGGAGTTTAGGGACCATGCCTAGATATGTGACACTGCATTTTGCATTGACATCTCACTCATCACATGAAGAAACTGAAGATTGTCCTGCAGGTAGCTAGTCTTCTTGTCAATGAAACGTTTGGCAAAACAGCAGCATTGCAGGGGATGCTTCAGTTAGGGATCAGCATCTTCAACAAACAGCATGTCGCACTTCCCAGTTCTGAGAATGTAAAAGCCCACTAATGCTAAGAAACATGCTGAATAAATTTGGCTTCTTCAGCAAGAATTCAACTCCTGTTTTCAAGAAATACACAAGTGTGAGGCCACTGAGCTTGCATTCATTATTATTTGACATCAGTTTTGAAAGTATTTGTACTGAATTTCAGATGGACGTTGTAGAGAGATACGAACAGATGAATGTGTGCCTCTCTTCTCTCTTTACCCGCTAATATGTTACCAGTGCCTAGTGACCATATGTGATGAGTAGTACTTTTTGGAAGTCCCTATGTTTGTGAACACTCCCTTTCACAAATGGGAGATAACACATGTGAACATGAAAGAGTTCATAACATCATAACCACCTAGAAAGGAACCCAACCAGAGTGACCAGTATACCAGCGAAATAACTAATATATATATATATACACACATATATTTTAATCCAATTTTGACCTTAATTTATCCTTCAACTAGATATGCATTAATTTAACTAGTCCAGATCTCTAAATTGGACCTTGTGCAAAAAGATGTTTGATAACATCTAATTGCTTGATGGCCCAGTATTATGCACATCACATGTGACTGTACAGTAGAGAGACATGACAAAGTTCTTCAGAGTAGATGCCCACACAAATATGTTAATTTAACTTGTTTGCTGCAGTTCCTAAATAGTGACATAATATTATTTACACATTTCTTGCATCAATCTTGAATAAATCTTCAGATTCCATCACTTCAGTTTTCACATTTTGTTGACTGTCAGGAATGGCACACCGGTTACATTTATGGTGGTATGAGTAAAATGCTACTGTGAAATTATTTAATTCATCAACAGATAAATTTAGCCATCTGAGGTAGTTTGTATAGGAACACTGACATTTGAGGGCTTGGAAACTGGCAAGTTAAATCACTTTTGTCTTATTCTCTTGTTTGTTTCTGTACCTGGAAGTCATATCAGCACTTACATGAAGAAAATTGTTTATGCTTTATCATATGAGAATCAGTCTAACCAACATGGTGTCGATTGTCTTCAATGAATTTGGTACTTTCCTGTTTCAGGATCAAAATGGGAAACACCAGCATGGCTGGTAGAATCCACTATGTAATAAGTAGATAAAGAAATGAGTGTTCTGGTGTTTTGCTATGATCATTGCTTTTGTTAATATTACTGTGAACCAACAAAATACACAGTATCAGGGGTACAATACATACATACATATACATTTTCATTTTCATTTCTTTAAAATATTCACAAATGTGCCACCAGCACCGAATATAAAACATGTCAGCAAGCAAACAAAACATTGGACACTTATACATTCACAAATAAAATCACTAGCATATATAATCCATACTTGTCAAAAACACATACAATAGTTAAAAGGCAATACAACTTGCAGCAAGTATATATAAGCACAACCAAGGACATAATGTTAGTGAAGTGTGCGCTGTCAGACACATCTTTTCCTTAGCTGTAGGTCTTGACAGAAAAGCAAGAATTCCTCAACAGTATAAGAAGGGTTTTGAAGCAATACATCCTTTAGTTTCCCAATAAACTGTTTTTTATTATGTACTAACTCAATTAAAAAATCAGACAAACTATTAACAACTTTTACACTCATGCAATAGACCCCTTTTTGCCTCTTTGTTAGATGTGATTGAGGAACATGTAGGTTTCTAACTTGTCTTGTTGATTTACCATGAATTGTATGATTGAAAGTATAATGCCCCAAATTGTTTATCATTAGTATCATTAAAGATAAACTATATTGAGAGTTCAATGTCAGAATTTTTAATTTTTTAAAAACTGTTCTACATGATTCTCTGGGTTTCATTCCCATCATTATCCTGACGGCCTTTTGTAAAACAAAAATCTTCTTAGCCTCCAACGAGTTTCCCCAAAATACTATCCCATATCTCATAATTGAATGAAAGTATGTGTGGTAAATCATCCTTAGTGTTTCAATATTGCTATACAATTTCATATTTCTTATTGCAAAGCATACCCTGCCCAATCTAGACAGCATCAATTCAATCTATGACTTCCAATTCAGGGTCTTATCAATTTCAATGCCCAAGATTTAACATGGGTTTCCTCATGCAATATCTCATCATTAAACTTTAAATGTATAGACATATTATCTAGATTAATTGTATCAAATTTAACACTTCAGTTTTTTTTTTTTTTT